ATATATATATATATATATATATACATATATATATATATAATGGACGGTTCGGGCGCTACGCTAGGGTTTGGAATCGCTGGCGATCAGGAAGCAATTTTTTTATGTTGATGGTGTGCCTTCTCTCTCGACGGTCGAACTCTGGTGAGATCTTTCTTTTCGTTTTCTGGCTTTGGCTTCTCCTCCGTTCTCGTCTTCTTTCCTTGCCTCTGCGCTTTCTCGCCGTCTATGGCGAAGACGTATGCAAACGTCACTGCTGGGGGATCCTCCTCCAGCACTCCAAATTTTGTGTTTCCTTCTTCATTTCATGAATCTCTTATCCTTGGTAGGGAATATAATTTCATTAAGTCGCAAGGGAGGAAAGAGGGAAGTTTGCGCTTTTCCTCTCTCTGCTGAAGCATTTTGAGCTCTTGAACTTATCGGGGGATTGAAAGATTGGTGCTCTTGATAGCAGACATATTTTGATTCAGCTTTCTAACGAGGATGATTATGCTAAACTTTTTGCACAAAGAACAGTACATTTTGGGGATGTCTGGATGAAAGTCCTCAAATGGACTACTGAATTTGATCCTCAGACTGAGCTGCCTATTATACCAGTCTCGCTTCGACTTCCGGGTTTAAAGGTGCATTTGTTCAACCATGAAATTTTGTTTTCTATTGCGGCTATGTACGGTAAACCGTTAATGCTCGATGCCCCAACCTTTAACTTAACGAGGCCTTCAATGGCTAGAATTTTGATAGAATGTGATGTTACCTTACCCCCCCCTGAGGAGGTTTGGATTGGTTCTAACCATACAGGATATTGGCAACCGGTGTTTCTTGAGAAACATCCTCATTACTATTCGCATTGCAAAATGTTTGGGCATGATTCGGAACATTGTTTTCACTTACACCTAGAACTGCGGAGAAATACATCGGGTTTTATATCCTCTGTTGAGCAGAAATCTGTTCATCGAACACCTCCTGTCGAACCGGTTGTAGAACAAAGTGCTCCCTGCGTGGAGGCAACCAGTGCCGCTCATTCTGATAGCGTTGAGGGCAAAGCACAAGTGGGCCCTTTGCCCTTTGAGAGGTCTGATGAAATTGTGGAGCCGTTTGTTGCCGCACAAAATCCTCCTCCTCTGGAACAGGACATAGCGGTACAGCTCCCTTATGCACAACCAGGAGATTCACACATTCAGGATTCCCCATAACTACCTACACAACACACTACAATATCACACTACAATACCTTATATTACTCCACCGCCTGACCCAACTGCTGTGGTTGCCTTAGCTTTGGAATCTGAATGGACAATTCAAAAATATAGCAGGAAACGAGGTAGAAGGAAATCAGAAGTTCCTAATATGACACATTCAAACAATATTGATGTCACATATCATTCTGAGGGCGAGCACTTGCATCTTCCCCCTAGGATTGCTAGGAGGTGGGTGTTATGGGCCAAAATATTTAACATTCTAGTATGGAACATTAGGGGAGTGGCGGACCCCCACTCATTTAATCGTTTGAAACATTTATGTAGGGTTCATAAGCCAGGCATTTTTGTTCTTTTGGAGCCGTTTGTGTCGGTTTATAAGGAGGATATCAACAAGAAATTTGAGGGTTACATGCATTATAGTAATCAGAACAATAAAATTTGGCTCTTTTGGCAAAAGGATATCACTCTCAATATTATAGATGATAATGTGCAATATGTTCTAATTCATTATCAGAAGGAGAATTTTCATGGTTGGGCTACCTTTATTTATGCCAGTTCTTTATTACGGGACAAATTACTTCTTTGGAAACAGCTTATTCAAATGGGTGCTACTATGTTTGATAATTGGTTTGTTGGAGAGGATCTAAATATGATTATGTCTCCTTCAGAGAGAAAGGGTAGTGCTAAAGTTGATACAAATCTTTTTAACCATTTTTGTGAGCATATTGCAGATGCATGCCTCTATGATGTAGGTTTCTCGGGTCCTCCCTATACTTGGAGGAGGAGCCTTCTTATGCAGAGATTGGATAGATTTCTGGGGAACTCTTTGTTGGGCTACTATAATATTATTCATGTCAAAAATCTTAACCATGTTGATTCGGATCATAATCCTATTTTGTTTAGTTTGGCTTTTCATTCTAAATCTGCTCGCTATCACTTTAAATTTATTAATGTTTGGACTTCTCATCCTACTTTTCTTGCTTTGATTAAACAGGCTTGGGTTTCACGGTGGAGTAACAGCCCTTGGTATATTTTATGGCAATTACATAAAAATGTAGCTTCTTTCTTAAAGAGGTGGAATCTTGATATTTTTGGCAATGTACATTCCAGGGGTTTGAAAGCCCAACAGGAGGTGGATGCAATGGAGGCACAGGTGATCGACACTCCTGATCTTGTTGCTAAGCTAGTCCATGCTCACCATACTCTCTTGGAGAAAATCACTATTGAGGAAGATTTCCTTAGACAAAAAGCTTGTGACACTCATTTTAGAAATGGTGACCGAAACACTAAATATTTTCACGTCACCATCAAACACCATCGGAATATCAATGTCATTCTTAAGATTGTTACCATGTTACCAATGAGGGTGTCCGATGAGGGTGTTGTCATCACTGATGTTGTGCAAATTGGTTCCAATGCCGCTGATTATTTTACCTCTCTTTATGCTGAGGCTCATCCGGTCACTGATATTCTCTCGGAAATGTTTGATGATCATAGAGATATGGTTTCCTCCCTCTCTTTATCTGATCCCCCCACTGAGATGAAAATTTTCTCTGCCCTCAAAGATATTCATTCCCAAAAGGCCCCTGGTCCTGACGGTTTCACTTCTACTTTTTATATTTCTTATTGGGACATCATTAAGAAAGTGGTGGTTCTCGCGATTCTTTGAGGGTGAAGACCCTTGAAAGTATTTCACCGCCGCTTTGATTGTTTTTATGCCTAAATCAAATGATAAAACGCATTGGAAGAATTTCCGTCCCATCTCGCTCACTTCTGTGATTTCTAAAATTATTAGCAAATTGATTGTGGCTCGTCTTCAACCTCATCTTCCTTCTCTTATCTCTCCTCATCAATCGGCTTTTATAAAAGGATGTGATATTTCTGACAATATCCTCTTAGCCCAAGAAACTTTACAAGATCTCGATAAAAAATGCAGGGGTGTCAACCTTATTATCAAATTAGATATCAAGAAGATTTTTGATACTATTAATTGGGATTTCATCATCAACGTTTTGAGGGTCAGAAGTTTCAATTCTGATTTTTGCTTATTGATTAAAAGATAACTGGCTAACAACTATTACTCCGTACTGGTTAATGGTAACTCTTATGATTTTTTCACTGCTTATAGAGGCATAAAACAGGGGACCCTTTCTCCCCTATTATTTTCATTTTAGCCTTTGATTATCTTTCTAGAATGCTCAATCATTTCCAGTTGATACATCCTCACACACAGTTTTCTCATAAGACTAAAATGGTGGTTTCTCACCTTGCTTACGCTGATGATGTTATTATTTTTGCTAATGCCTCTAAATCTATTTTAAAACAATTAATGGGGCTCTTAAGGCTCTTAAATGACTTTCAGAATGACTTTCAGAATTGTTCGGGTCTTCTCTTTAATTGTGACAAGTGTCAGATGTATTTTAGCAAACAAGTTAAGCAACCTCTTATTCATTAGAGGAGTCTCTTATACATGTTATTATTATGTCTCTCTCCCTCTTAAATACCTGGGGGTTAATTTGATTAGGGGAAGAAGGAAACAAATATATATGGATGATGTTATTGATAAAATCAAGCGTAAAATTAACGATTGGAAAAATATTTTACTTTCTACTGGGGGCAGGATATTTTTGCTTTCTAGCGTGCTACAAATTATTCTTCTATATGCTTTGCAAGTGTTTAATCCTAAAAAAAGTGTTATAACTATCATGGAGAGACTTTTTAATAAATTCCTTTGGGTGGGGAATGGTGCTAA